AGAAGCAATGGCCTCCAACCTAAAAGCGATGGCCTCCAACTTAATAGCGATGGCCTCCCAACCTACTAGTGATGGTATTCTCATGTTTCTATTCTTTAAGACCTCAGTACTTATGGAGGATGTTCCGGTTTCTGGCGAGGAACGTGGCGGCTGCCACGTGCTGTTAACTTTGCTATATACAGTAGCATGTTTGATGTTTGTTTATATGGCTAGTAATTACAATTCTAATTAAACTCTTGTTACTAGTAAGGCACTTGTTTCTAGTAGCGTCCTTGTTAATACTAGTAAGGCACTTGCTCCTAGTAGCGATGCACTTGTCCGAGTCATCTCCTGCCGTCTGCTCTTCGTTTCCAGAGCTTACACTGCTTTGAAGCTCGGTAGCAATTCTGTTCATTTAGGATGAGAACTCAGTAGCGACGGCCTCCACCCCATTTAGGATGAGAACTTGAAGTTTGGAAGAAGCAACTAGCAGCAAAGGGCATCGCTACTAGGAGCAATGACGCCACTAGGCGCGGCCTTACTACTAGTAACAAGAAGCTACTAGGCACTCAATGCAAAGGGCATCGCCACTAGGAACAACAAGCTACGAACGTAACAAGAAGCACCACAAGGCGGTACCTTGGAGTCTTGGAAGATGTGAGCAACTTCCGAAGAGAAGCCTGGCCAGAACTCGCACTGTCTGTGAATGCTAGAGGCACTTGCTCGATGACCTTGCAGATATGGTTTTGTTGTGAAGAAACTGGTGGGCAGAAATCGTATGTTGGTTGCAGGTGTCTTGAAGTCCGACGAAAAACGACTCAGGGTCACAATGGCGAAGTTGACAAAGTCGGCCATTGGGCAATCTGGCATTTCTACTAGCAAGAAGTTACTGGAAACAAGGGCATCGCTATTAGTAACAAGAAGCTACTAGTAGCTCCTAGCAATCTGCCAAACTCACAGGGCTGATCTCCAAAAGCCGTCACAGACGGTTAGCTACTAGTAGCTCCTGGCATCGCTACTAAGAACAAGAACGCTACAAACGTAACAAGAAGCTACTAGTAGATTCCGTCACAGACGAGATTCAAGAATCAACCGCATGTTGCGCATATTGAAACTGGAGGGTCGCTGTTCACAGTTGGCAGGGTGTGGAAGTTGCCACCTGATTCCTCATCAAGACCAGGTTCCTCAACCATTGCGGCTGTGCTTTGACGCAGCCTTCTCCAGACAGATAACCTTCGTAGGGCGACTCCTTTTGATGAAGGCCTTTCTTTCGGCAATCGCTTCAAGGTACCTGGTGCCGGTCCGGCCTTCTCAAATTCAACAGAACCAAGTGGTTGGCTTGAAGGATTGAATATGTTCAAGCTCAAGAGTTATTGAGGTTTGGATGGTTTGATGATTACACTTTAGCTTGGTGTCCGGTACCAAGCTTGATGGATTGCAAATGTTTGTTAGTACTTAAAGTTCAACAGAGCGGCTTGCGAAGGTTCTCTATGTCGTTCCACAACTCACATAAACCTGCAGAGTGATTTAGGCTGATTTACAATGAACGCTGGCCTTGTTGGTTGGTGTGCAAAAATCAAGTGTAACTCAGACACCAGCCCACTGTGAAAAGCAATGCGTTCTTGGACACCTGCCCTGCTGGGGAATAATTTTGTGATAACTTCAACAGGGCGAACATTTTTTCATGTAAAGTTCAATCCGCAATGTGGCAGCCTGCTGCTAAAGCTTCTAGAATAGTGTGCATGCGACAGTGCAGCAATCAGATGATTTGTGTTTGTGGATCAAGGACACCAAGCAAAATTAACGCGCTAAAAGTTTGCCGCAAGTCTCTTGCATAGGGCAATTGCCTGTGCATATCGCCTGGAGCCTGCATTTTGTTGATTTTCGTGGTGCGCTTTTGTGTATATTTATGCAATTGCATATGAAAGATGTATTTTTTTCTATTAGAAACAATAAGCTACTAGGAACAAGTGCATCGCTTCTAGTAGCAAGTAACAAGTGCCTTACTAGTAGTAACAAGAAGCTACTAGTAACAAGTGCATCGCTTCTAGTAACAAGTGCCTTACCAGTAGTAACAACAAGCTTCTAGTAATCCTCACATTGTCTTTGTTTTTGTGCAAGATCCCGCTTCCTTTGTACGAATCTGTTTCGTTTGCAGGTAGGCGTGCACTGGGAGACTGAGGCGGCTGGCATGCTGTCAAAAAAACGAATTCAATCTTGTTACTAGTAGTAAGGCATGTTACTAGTAGCGATGCCCTTCTTACTAGTCGCTTCTTGTTCCTAGTAGTGAGGCCAGGAGCCGCTAGTAGCGTCCTTTCTCCTAGTAGCGATGCCCTTTGCCACTAGTAGCTTCTTGTTACTAGTAGGAATGCCCTTGTTACTAGTAGCGATACACTTCTTACTTTGGCTTTTGTGGAAGGATGCTAAGGATTCCTGTCAAGTTTTGAAAAGTGAACAGATAGGCTGAGAGTCGTGACAGGTATGGCAATGCCAGCATCAAGTTTGCCAGGTCTATTGATATTTTGATAAAGAATATTTGGCAAATCCTTCTTTTGCATCTATCGAATCGCAATCCTTCTCTTATTTCTTTGTTGTCATCCCCAGGTGCTGTGTGGGGCTTTGCCGGTAGGCTACTTGAAAGCTGTTCGGGCTAATGAGTGGGCAACCTTTGCCAAGGCCAGCTTCATAGGCAAAGTTCATCTTGCAATTGCATCTTTTTCGTCCACACTTATTGACATTTATTGGGTAGATGTTGTGTTCTAATGGATTTGCCGACCGTTTTATATACATTCACTTTGATTTGAGGTTGTGTTGCAGTCGGCTTATGAAGCAACTTTGACGGTGGCATCCTGCCTGGCAGCCAAAAAGGGCACACGAATCAAGGCACCGCTTCTTTTCTTTTCTTTTTTGTTTTTCGCATAGTCGTATGATGTCATACATCGCCGGGAGATGCAAGGTCAGAACAATGTACTGTATTTTTTTGGCTAAAGCTCAAGGGAGAAAGCAGTTGCAACTGCAACATGGGCGAAGTTTGCAAACAGTAACAAGAAGCTACTAGGGGCTCCTGGCATCGCTATTAGGAGCAAGGACGCTACTAGACTAGGGGCTCCTGGCCTTACTACTAGGAACAAGCACGCTACTTTTCCTTCATCTTGCCACCAGGTCTTCTTGACAGCGGTTGGGGCAGGATCTCTGAGCAATCGCGTTGCATGGATTGCAGGTCAAGGGATGGCCTCCAACCTAAAAGCAATGGCCTCCAACCTACTAGCAAAAGGGCTTCTGATAGCGATGGCCTCCCGTTTTTGTCACTTTCTCTCAAACTTTCGATGTGACTGTCTCACGTTTCCACATTCTCGACTCGTCTCCAGGTGCTTTAGAGATGGCGTTGGAGAACTTTGCTTCGGTGCGAGTCATATTTTTTTGTAAGTTTGTTTTGGACCAAACAACTTGGAGTTGTGAAACACAGTTCAAGTTGTTTCACAGTCAGCAGGAGCCGTTGGATGTGGTGCTCGTCCACTTTTCTGCCCCATTGCCCGATTTCACTCGTTTAGAGGTTTGTGGTTCTGTGAAGAATTTGTTGGGACGCACATCAGTGTCTTGCAGGAAGGGAGGAAAGTTTTAACTCCTCCAGATAGGCAAGGGTATTTGCTGGTTTGCTGTGCTCTGCACCCTTCGTTTGTTCACCACGTGACTCTCAGTGTTGCTTCAACGATTTGCAGATGATTAGATCCTTTAGCTTGAGTAATTTATAGCTATTAGCTATTAGCATTGGGAACAAGAAGCTGCTAGGGGCTCCTGGCCTTACTACTAGGAGCAAAGACGCTACTAGGGGCTCCTGTCATCGCTACTAGTAGCAAGAAGGCTAGTAGGTTGGAGGCCGCTACTAGGAGCATCGCTAGTGCGGTTTGGATGCAACGTTGGCGTTCGACCATTGACCGTGGCAGACCATTGAGTTCGTCAAACGGCCTCAACCAGCACGGCACTCTAAAGAATCCACCAACTTGGACTCGTTTGACCCTGATTCGGACATCTTTAGACTCTTTCAAGGAAGTGGCAAGATTTGGAGATAGAGGAGCCAGAGGCTAGCGTGGCTAGTTCTTTGAGAAGTGCAACGTCGATCGACTAGTGCAGGACGACCTTGTCAACGTGATGAGGCAGGACGACCTATCGGACAGTTCCAGGCATCTTGAAGCCGTACAGATCTGCCAAATTGCAAGGGCGGCCTTCTCCTTGAATGACCAGAATGGAGATGGAGCAAGATACAGAGTTCTGTGGTGACTTTTGAACAGAACAGAACTTTCTAGATTGAGCCAAGTTGGCGGCAGTGCTGTTTGAGGTGTTGGATCGATCAGAGTTCTTCAGCATGCTGCACAAAATCGATGAAGAGCCCTTCACCAAGATACTTCAGTCCTGTTCGTTTCATTGTTTCGGGGGCGTGAGGGGTGGAGGTGAAGTAAGTCAGGTAGCTATAGGTAATAAGTGAGCTTATCAAGTAAATCCGGACTTCATGCACGGGTGCAGAAGAACGAGGAAAATTCAACTCTTACTTTATCCAATCCCTTTGGCCAAGGTTCTTTACGCCGCATGTTGTAGATGTACTACTAAAAGAGGCGGTACCAGCTGAGTTTCACTCGTGTAAAGAACAGTGTGGAGAGCGATCAGCAGTGTCACAGGCCGATGCTGATCAAGATGGCAAGATTTACTACCATGAATTTGTCAGATGGATTTGCCAGGACGCTAAAAAGAGAGATTGGGAAACTAGAAAAAAGAGAAACAGTTTTCTTTACATGCGCTTTTCTTTATTTAGACCTTGCTTTCACAGCCCTATGTTCATGATCACAGCCGCGTGCAGGAAGACGAAGAGATTGTAAAGCGAGTCTTACTATAAGACAAGCCAGAGAGTTCTTTCGCCGGCTGTGGCGGATGTGGCTTTGCGTTGGTTTCTCCGATCGGTGATCGGATCATCATATTCAAGGATGCATTTCTCCCTAATCAGTGGTAGTGATGGGTTGGGGTTCTGCCTCAGGGATCAGTGGAAATGGAAGTGGTCTCAAGGAGGTCAAAGAAAGTGAGGTTCCAACACAATGCAAAGACAAATGCGCACAGAGCGCAGCGCTCCTGGTCACGATCACGTCGTGGCTTTGGAATTCGCATGAAAAAGGGCCCCTTCTGAGCCACAGTGCAATCAGCGATCAAACCACAGTGTTCAAGGCTGGAGGTGTTGCAGGTTTTCCATTCTTGCGTAGAGCCAAGACTTTGTCACAACATGATTCTTGGGTTGTCTCCCAGGTCTTCCCGCAAGGTGTGTCATGAAATGACTTTTCTCACAGCAAAGCGCAGGCAGAGGGTTTGGCAAATAGTTTTTTCTCAACTGCTTTGCTCTTATGCTTAAAGGAAACGTAGTGTGCCTTCGTCTGTTCGGGGTCGATGCTGGTGTAACCTTGATCAAATAACTTTCCTTACTACATGCAATGTGCTTGAATTTGCCTGCAACCGCCATGTCCACAATTGCTCACAAATGCAATCGGAATCTCGTGCAAGCAAAAACACTCACACCGAGTGCTGGTGCGTTGAACAAAGTCAACGGACCAGTCACACCAGTGAGTTTCTGTCGCAATTGCGGCCAAGATGTCTGACTCAGCGCCGAAGGACTGGGAAAGAAAATATGGATCCGCTTTGTTTTACTCAGTTGCTGTGAAAGTGACCACGAGGGATTCCATTGTGGTGGAGTTTAAGGCTGTTGCTTTGGAGAAGGGTCCATGAAATTTTAAGGCCGTTGCATGTCTCTGGCCTCCGATTTGAATCCCCGTGATGATTTGAAACGCACTAAAATCTACAATGCTCTTTCTCTGTAGCATCCATTTGCAGCTGTGCATCGAGACAACTTGTTAGTCCAACATGAACAGATTGAGACCCGCTTCTATTGATCTCATGGATTGGCAGCAATGTACTTATGCACCGTACAGTTGAATGGTGAAGTTGTTGTGACAGCAATGTGCTTTATATAGACACAACATTTTGGAAGGTCGAAGTGCTTCTAATCTGGCAAGCCGCAAGCGCTTGCCTTCGCTTGCCATGGCAGGATACGAAGCGGACGGAGATGCATCCATCAAAGCATCTGTTGCTTCTGCTGTGTTCAAAGTGCGCTGTCAGAGCACAAGACCTGGCGAGGCCGTTTTCGTTGTGGGTAGTCATGAGGCTTTGGGAAAGTGGTCTGCAGCCATGGCGTTGCCATTGACGACCTCTGCGGACACGTTTCCCATGTGGACCTCTGCTCCAGTACCATTACTTGCAGGCATGATGGTCGAGTACAAGTTCATCAAGCAGCGAGAAGATCGTCAAGGAAATCCACAATGGCAGAAATTTGATGGAAACTACCGCGTCACACCAGTTGCAGGCAAAGTACTTCAAGCCGTGTCAGACTGGGAAGTCGCTTCGGCGGACATTTCCGAGCTGACGCTTCCGGAAGAGCCAGACAAGATTGAGAAGAGCTCCGAGGCTGGCAAGGTCGCTGCAAAACAAGAGAAAGAGGACTGAGTTCTTTAAACGTTCTCACAGGTTAAACGTTTTCCAATCAGGATCGCTTTTGGTCACTTTGGCAGGAGATTCTTCTAAAAATGGCAGAATCTCAAGTCGAGACAGCAGCTGCGGAGGTGACATCAACTTGTCCCTTGGCCGTAACCCTGACAAAGCGGGAAATGAGCCGTCGGAATTTCTCTCAAAGTTTGCTCACTTTAGACGTGGACGTTGTCGACGGCCCAAAAGAAGAGCAAAACGAGAACAAGGATGAGGCAGAAACGACCATCACCACTGCTTCAGCAGAAGAACCAGCACAGGAAGAGCATAAGGATGGGGATGTAGTGGTTTGTCAAGTGCCATTGGACGAGTACGAAGCGCCGCTGAACGAAGAGCCTCCGACTGAAGAGCCTCAGAAGGTCCCAGATGTCCGGGGAGTGTCGTTGAAGCACATTACGCTCCTTGGCCAAAGTGGTATTGTTTTCCTATGTCTTCCTATTAGGTTGGAGAGCACTCACTCTTAGGTTGGAGAGCACTCACTCTTAGGTTGGAGAGCACTCACTCTTAGGTTGGAGAGCACTCACTCTTAGGTTGGAG